TTCATTTTTTTGTCATGAATCAACAAGTGGGACACAATCGTGAAGTGGAACGAAATGTATCGGATAATTTAAACTTTTTTAACAAATAAAAAACTGAAAAATGGGGCGTGCAATATTATTCGGCCCCTTTACTTTCAGTGCAGCAAACTCAGTCCAGAAGTTCAGTGAGGATCTTTGAATGATCCAATGTTGTCCTAAATGACTGATGATAAATAGAATGCACCTGTGTGTAATCAAGTCTCCGTATAAATGCACCTGCTCTTTGATAGTCTCAGGGTTAGGGTTAGGGTTAGGGTTAGGGTTAGGGTTTAAAGCGCAGAGAGAACCATGAAGACAAAGGAACACACCAGGCAGGTCTGAGATACTGTTGTGGAGAAGTTTAAAGCTGGATTTGGATACAAAAAGATTTCCCAAGCTTTAAACATCTCAAGGAGCACTGTGCAAGCAATTATATTGAAATGGAAGGAGTATCAGACTCCTACCAAGACCCGGCCGTCCCTCCAAACTTTCATCTCAAACAAGGAGAAGACTGATCAGAGATGCAGCCAAGAGGCCCATGATCACTCTGGATGAACTGCAAAATAACTACAGCTGAGGTGGGAGAGTCTGTCCATAGGACAACAATCAGTCGTGCACTGCACAAATCTGGCCTTAATGGAAGAGTGGCAAGAAGAAAGCCATTTCTCAAAGATATCCATAAAAAGTCTCGTTTAAAGTAGGGTTGGGCGATATTTTTTTTGTACCGGTATACCGGTATAAGTAAATTAAATGATAAGAAAATGCCTTATACCGGTGAAAACGATCATTTAACACTGAAAACAGCGAGCGGAAGACACGTTTGTGTGCGGCGCACTTTGATGACGCATCTGCGCGGCACGTGTAGACCATGGTGAAGACATGCAGATTGTAGAAGACATTGTGCCAAAACGCGGAGCTACCTCAAACATATGGGAGTAGTTTGGGAACTAGATAAAAAGAAGCAATTGTGTGTAACTATCGACAGTGGATCTAATGTTGTGAAAGCAGCTGCCCTAAACAACTGGACTCGAGTGGCTTGCTTCGGACACTCGCTCTCTCTCTCTCTCTCTCTCTCTCTCTCTCATAGTGCCATTGGTAAGCTTTATTTACTGTTTACTGTCATTCATTTTACTTCAATGCATGTGTTTGTCTACATTGCAATATAATTACAAATAAGTTATAATTACATAATTATAGAAACGCAAAAGGATACAAAAATATATACAGTATTTGATCATTTTGACTATATTGGGATTAGAAAACATAAGCCAAAGTGATCAAATAATTATTTGATAATGCTACACTTTTTATATTACAAAGGACAAACTTTTATATATTTTACAAATTACAAATGTTCACCTTTATTACATGTTGCCTGCAATTTTCAGTATGTACAAAACAGAATTCTCTACAATTCAGTTTTGTTAATACGTTTTATATACAATAGCTGTATTACACATTTTGCTGCCAAAAAATCAGTAAATGCACTTTGAGGCAAGTGTGTTTAAAATGAAAAAAGTTTTTATAGCTTTTATATGAGGCTTTGTTAAAATTATCATATCGTCATATCGTGATACATACCAACAAAAATCGTGATACATGCTGAGGCCCTTATTGCCCAACCCTAGTTTAAAGTTTGCCACAAGCCACCTGGGAGACACACCAAACATGTGGAAGAAGGTGCTCTGGTCAGATGAAACCAAAATCGAACTTTTTGGCCACAATGCAAAACGATATGTTTGGAGTAAAAGCAACACAGCTCATCACCCTGAACACACCATCCCCACTGTCAAACATGGTGGTGGCAGCATCATGGTTTGGGCCTGCTTTTCTTCAGCAGGGACAGGGAAGATGGCTAAAATTGATGGGAAGATGGATGGAGCCAAATACAGGACCATTCTGGAAGAAAACCTGTTGGAGTCTGCAAAAGACCTGAGACTGGGACGGAGATTTATCTTCCAACAGGACAATGATCCAAAACATAAAGCCAAATCTACAATGGAATGGTTCACAAATAGACGTATCCAGGTGTTAGAATGGCCAAGTCAAAGTCCAGACCTGAATCCAATCGAGAATCTGTGGAAATAGCTGAAGACTGCTGTTCACAAACGCTCTCCATCCAACCTCACTGAGCTCGAGCTGTTTTGCAAGGAAGAATGGGCAAGAATTCCAGTCTCTCGATGTGCAAAACTTATAGAGACATACCCCAAGCGACTTGCAGCTGTAATTGCAGCAAAAGGTGGCGCTACAAAGTATTAGCGCAAGGGGGCCGAATAATATTGCAAGCCCCACTTTTCAGTTTTTTATTTGTTAAAAAAGTTAAAATTATCCAATAAATTTCGTTCCACTTCACAATTGTGTCCCACTTGTTGTTGATTCTTGACAAAAAAAAATATTTTTATATCTTTATGTTTGAAGCCTGAAATGTGGCGAAATGTTGAAAGGTTCAAGGGGCCAAATACTTTCGCAAGGCACTGTACATCATCCCTGTCGATTTCAAGACACTATCAACACAATGGCTGTAATTTTTTTTTTGATATCCGAATAGTGTATACTTTGATAAATTGCTAAGTTGTTCATATACTGAAAGGTCAGTGAATATGTGTTCTATATTTGACCAAAACAAAGCTGTTGTTTCCATAGTGTAGCCCCTGGAGAACATCTTCATAGAGAGGTCTTTTTACTAGGGCTGTCAAAATTATCGCGTTAATTACATTTTTCATTAACGCGTTAAAAAGTTTTTTGACCCGCCCATTTATCCGTAATATCACTCAGAATGCTGCGTGTGAGATACATCAGAGCAGGTAGGCCCTCTGGAAATTCATGTTTTAAAAGAATACGCGCATGACCGCAGGGCTGTTGTTTGCTGTGAACTGAAGTCCGCCTCCTCCGCGGCCGCTCTGGTTGTGAGCCGCTAACAACAACACGGCTGTGAGCGAATGGCTCCGCGGTAACATGGTCATAAAAGACCATACACGCCACAGAACTATTCTCTGCACGTTGTGTTCGTGTCTTTGCAACCTGTGCGAACCTGTGCACACAAATACACTGCAAAAGTGTCCCTGTCTCCTCCTGAAACTAAACTAAACTCGCTTAATTAAAGCTGGGGTATGTAAATTTCCCCCTTTTATTAACAGCTCATTTTGGTTGTGCCCAAAAGCAAAAGGTTGTGAGCAAATCTAACAGATTTAAGTACATTTGGTATGAATGACAATTAGGGGTGGGAACCTAAGGGTACCTCACGATACGATACGATACAAAGCTCACAATAACTATAATATCACGATAACGATATTACGATAACAATTTTATCACGATATGACGACTATTGATATATTGGTCAGAAACACCAATTTATGGCATAAATTTAAAAAAGTACTCTTTATTTCATGATAAATAGAATGGAGATGCGTAATGTAGCCATATATTAAGTATTGATACCAATTTTTTTTTTTGGCATACTTGGTAAATGCATATTGATAATCGAATCGCTGGAGAAAGTATCGTGATATATCGAAAAATCGATATATCGTCACACCCCTAATGATAATGTGTCATTATATTTGATAATCTCATTTAACTTCAATTGGAGTGGATTTGAAATAGAATGTTAAAAATGCGATAAATCGTGAGTTAATTCACCATTTCTGTGCGATTAATCAACTAAAACATTTTAATCGTTTGACAGCCCTACTTTTTACACATTGGGCTGTTTGATTGAAAATATATGTTAACTTATTTAAATTTCATTCAGCGGTTATTAAAGAATTATTGGAGTCATAAAACCTATTTTTACAGTTTAAATTATTAATCTATTTAAAAAATAGTTTATAACTATTTAAATATTTGATTAATTAATTTATTCACTTGTTTTATATATATAATATTGCCACAACATTTGTCACATTTCTTTATAAGTCAAATATATCCTGGAAACATTAAAAGTGTTTTAAAAGCTCAGTTGGTAGAGCATTGGCCTTTGGGCCTGAAGGTCGTGGGTTCAAGCCCACCATAAGACCTACTTCACGACTCCCACTGATGACTGCTGTCGATGTGTCCTTGGGCAAGACACTTAACCCCACTTTGCCTGAAGCTCCCACTGAAAGATCTCAGCTCCTGTGGACTCACCACCTGCAGGAGGATCAGTGAGGGGCTGGTGCTAAGTGTACTGGGTGCAGCTCTGACTGCCACCCCCCCGACCCAGAAATGGATTAGGGGAAGAAAATGGATGGATGGATGGATGGATGTTCATTTATAATAGAATGGATCTGAAAGCGTAATGAAAGTGATATTTCTTGAACAAAGAGAAGATCCAAAGCTCTCTGGCTCAAAGAAATGTTATTGATTTACAACTGCCATGTCCTAATAGTAAAAAAGGACTTTTATCTAAAGCCAGAGGGCCTTGGGTCTACTCTTATTTTTTTCTTTAAGTGCTGTAGCCTTTTGGATCCTTGTATAACACTTGCTCTGCCATTGCCTTTGTCCATGTTCTCACCAGTTGATATTTATCTCATTACATCATGACTGTCGAAAATTAGCAGAACCAATATTGCAGAACCAATTCTGATATCTGAAAGCAGTATTGCAATAAAAGTGACTTCCCCAGAGCAGTTCTTACAGTCAGAACTCTCGTGGGTCTGGATTGTTTGCTGTGTGATCTATGACTAGGCTATAATTGCTTTTGCTCCGTAGAGACAGGGATATTAAAGATGCGGTAAGATATCTGATGCTGTAAGCTGCAATATCAAAGGCACCAGGAGGGACTGAAACAGACAAATGAGTGAGGAATGTAGACATCAGCATGAAGGAAATATCAAATTGGGCGTTTGTAAAGCCTCGTAAAGGGTTTATAGATCCGTCAAACCTGAAACAATTTTTGCTAACCGTTTAGGAGTCGGGAAAACATGTCAATAAATGCTGTCATGGACGGCTAGCATTGAATAAGGTAAATGGAAGCAGTCAAATTCATAACATTCAGTGACATGAGTAAGAGAAACAAGAAGTCTACACCCCCTTATACAAAGAAAATAAGAATAATTGAGTGACCATGTAAACATTGCATACACAACTTTGTATTTAATTAATCCATTCGTAATTCATCCGATATTATAGTATTGACTTTGAAATAAATACACATCCTGCCGATACAACAGGGGGTGTCCAAACACTACATTAAGAGGGCCACTTTAGTTCATCACACATCACAAGGGCAGCACGGTGGCTGAGTGGATAGCACTCTCGCTTCTCAGCAAGAAGGTCCTGGGTTTGAATCCCGGTTGGACCAGGGCCTTTCTGAGTGGAGTTTGCATGTTCTCCCCGTGTCATAAAAATATGTACAATATGGCATGTGCCTCCTGTACTGGCACCCTCACTTCCAAAAATCACAATTGTAAACCGCTTTGAGACTCCGATGTGCAGTGAAAAGGCGGTATATAAATAAAGATTACTTACTACTTACATCATTGTAAAATTATTTTGACCGCATTCTGGCTATTCTGAGCTTTTAAAAGTAGGTTAGACATTTGTCCTTATTGATTCAGATTCTACAACGCTGAAGTTGGCTGGATGAAACAGTGACCTTGTGTTCACGGTGGACATCATCGTAAAATAGTGTAGTTTTAGTAGATAGTAGATAGTAGTGGTCTGTAATGGCTTTTTATTGGTTTTCTGCACATTGGGCTTTCATGCTGTGAAGCCTGTCCCGCGAGCATCTATAATTTACACACAAAAAAGATCTTTAAAAATGCATTTGACGAGATTCCAGAAAGACTGTTGCCTGAAACGAACCTCCTAACCTGCGCTCTCCTTTCTCTCTTTCTCCCCTGGCTCCGTCCATCTGTCTGTCCATATTGTGTCCACGCAGGTTCCACATTTGGCCTGTTGATCGGGGTGTTTGTCCTTTGTGGCTTGGCTCTGGTGGCTCTGCTGTCCTTCGTGTCCTGGAGGTTTTGCTGGCTCCCGTGGAGAAACAAGCCCCTGCTCTCATCCTCCGCCGGCCAGGCCCTGTCGCCCTGTGCACCCGAGCTCCGCCTTCTCACGTAAGACACACTATTTATAGACTGGTACATGGTCAATGATCACATGTACTGTATATGTATTTTTACCTTTTAAATGATTCAAAGCACTTTACTGGAAGCCTGCTTGTCTATTTTTGTTTATTTCTAAAATTACTGGGTATTATGTACTTGACCCAAGCTTTAGGAAAAAACAACACTGAAAGTAGGTGCTGTCCGATCTGAATATCAAAGTGAATACCAGCATCTTCAGCCGCTTAGCACCATATCTTTAGTTATTTTTATATAGTTTTCACATAAACTACTCTACTCAAATACAACATTACGGCCAATAAAAAATGTGGTCGACTAAGGAAACAAAACAAAGGAGGTTGCTCATCCATCATCTGTACGAGTTGGAGATTTATAACCTGTGGGTGTGGCTAGACACCCCCTGACGCTGAGGCTAACTCATTAACACATCTACTGTCTGCTGAGACTACTGGGGTGGGGTGCAACCCAGTAGTCTCAGCAGAGACATGCAACTCCTTAGCATGTCACTGACCTTTCCCTGTTGGCTGCCCCCTCTATTTCTTTCACCCCTCTCTCAAACCAATTTTTGTCTCAAGCCAGAATTTTTACCTCTGTCATTCACGGTGTGATTGGAGGCCTTAAGGACTTTGCAATGCTGGTAAAGTCGTTTTGGTGGAGTTTGTTTGGTGTCTCCAATAAAGTGGTCTGTGCATTCCTCTTCACTTTTGTGTTTTGTCTTTGGGGTGCACCAATTTCTGTGAATAATCCCTGTAGTTTACACAAATTGAGGAAACAAAAATTGAAACAACTAAACATTGACAGGGCTATAGAAAACGATAATAATAATTGTATTATTTTAAATAGGAGATAACACATTGAACCTCATGTGTGTCCAGCTTAAGGATGTGAACATGTTATCATGTGTGGATCGGCCTTCATTTCCTCCTTCGATATATTGTCTTTTGTGTTTCGGTGACAGGCCTAACCGCTCACTGCCCCCTGTGCTGCCGCCCCAGTCACCCGTCACCATGGCGACGGAGAAGGTGAAGGACCCTCTGGGCTCTATGGGGTTCCTGGAGGCCGCGGTGAAGATCAGCCACACGTCTCCGGACATACCCACCGATGTGCAGCTCTCCATGAGGGAGCACTTCCTTCGACGCACACAACGCATGCAGAGACAGACCACAGAGCCAGCTTCCTCCACCAGGTCAGACGCACACACACACACACACACACACTCACACACACATACACACACTTCACCACACTCTGGGTAAAGCTAACCTTATACATCAAGCAATGTTGCAATAGGGAGGAGCACAGGGACTTGCCTTCTGCTGGGACTCTGAGGAGCACAGGGACAGCATCAGGACTTAACATTGGGAGACAGAATTTCAGTTTTATGCAGCTAAAATCTGGAACAGTCTTCCAGAAAATGTGAGACAGGCTTCATCTCAGCTCATTACATCCTTGCCAGTGGTATTGAATACACCAAAGACAGAGCAACATTGTTGTTTGGCCCAAATACGAAGGGCATATATTAATGTCTAATTTGCAGGTAAACCGGGGGGTCCAAGTTGACCTCCTTTATTGGCTTCTAAAATATTTTCATCCATCCATTTTCCTCCCGTTTATCTGTTAATGTGTCATGGGGGCAGCAGTCTACACAGAAACACTTCTAAAATGCTCTTGTATTAGACCGTAAGTCTCACGACACGAAAAACCTCACAGTGCTGATATCTCTGTGACTCATTGGGAATGGCAGGGTTCAGTGTCACACATGTTCAGCAGCTGGCTCCATGTGGCCATGCTGTGGACCTTTCAATAAGAGATAAGCACAGCAGCATGTGACATTTTCACAAGACTGTATAATCCACAGCTGCTGCCCCAGGGCACACATGCTGCAGGGCAGATCAATACACCCATCCGAAAATACTCACACAGGGGCCTGTAATGAGCCATACTCCCAACTTTCAGTTTTGTGCAACATTTTTTTAATAATATTATGTACACAAGTGAAATCAATGAAGAATGGGAATTTTAAAGTCAGGGAGATTTTCCATGCAGATAATAAAGTTATAGACATATATTTTATATCTATATAAAATGCCTGATTGAGGTGAAAAACACTTGTAATTATTCTATCTATGGCCTCGTTTAGACAGAGACACTGCGGGGACGCTGCAAAGCAAAGACGACCAGGCTCCTTATAAGAAGTGCACAGCGTCTACACGACATCGGGCCCCCAGCAATAATCCCTGTACGACTGAGAGCATACACAAAATTAAGGAAACAAAAATTTAAACAAAACGGGACTATAGATTAAGATAAAGATATCCTTTATTCGTCCCGCAGTGGGGAAATTTCAGAAAATGATAATAATAATCTGTTTTTTATTATTTTAAATAGGAGATAAAACATTGAACTTGTCATGTGTGTCCAGTGTCAGGATGTGAACATGTTATGGCAAGGCAAGGCAAGTTTATTTGTATAGCACAATTCATACACATAAATAATCACAGAACATTAAAAAGAAAGATGAAAATATAAAATCCCTCAGTTGTATGCACAGCTAAACAGAACTGTTTTTAACCTGGTTTTAAACATTGTCAGAGAGGAGGCCTGTCTCACATCTTCAGGAAGATTGTTCCAGATTTTAGCAGAATGAATCTGAAAAGCAGCCTCCCCATGTTTAGTTCTGACTCTGGGCACTAACAGGAGTCCAGTCCCTGTGCTCCTCAGAGTCCGGGCTGGTTCATATGGTACTAACATGTCACTAATATATTTTAGTGTGAGGCCATGGAGAGACTTGTACACAAGCAGAGCTGTTTTAAAGTCTATTCTCTGAGCCACAGGAAGCCAGTGCAGAGACCTGAGAACTGGACTAATGTGGTCATACTTCCTGGTTCTAGTCAGGACTCGAGCTGCTGCATAATCATTATCATGTGTGGATGATGACACTTCAACAACAGGAAGTGTTATCAATCATGTTGGTGCATCCTCTTCATGCTTTGCTGTGGCCTGAGGAGGATGCACCAGCATCATCCTGCATTAAACAGTAGCAGCAAAAATGGAAACTGAAACAACAGCTTTGCATGGTTTTGTTTGGACGGATGAAGGAGTAGAATTCTCCTCCGTGTAGCGCTCAAAGCACAAGTAGCATTAGTTGATCCGTCGCCATTGGTGTTTACGTTTGTTCTCGGCTAATGTGTTCTCGGCTACGTTTGTTCTCGGCTAATGTGCATGTCCAAATGTACGTGTGGGGAAGTGGTGAGGTCATTGTAGCTAGAGAAGTCACCAGAGGTGGGACAAAGTCATTGTTTAGCAAGTCACAAGTCAGTCTCAATTCATTGCCCTCAAGTCCCGAGTCAAGTCCCGAGTCAAGACAGGCAAGTCCCGAGTCGAGTCCAAGTCAAAGGCCAACAAATCTCAAGTCAGTCCCAAGTCCTACGGTTTGACTTTCGAGTCCTCTCGAGTCTTTTTGACTGCGATTTGTTTCTTGTTGGTCTCCACGTACTTTTGTAGGCAAACAAAATAATGTTAGGAATCATTTTGCTGGTGCATTCTCGTTGGTCTCTGACCCATGGACTAACAGTTTGTTCCATGTCGTTGTCTGCTGGTAAATCAAAACTATCTAAGTGATCTAATTGGATGTTGTGCCAGATGCAGGCTCAGTTACACATGCACAGACCACACATAAAATCAGAGCAGTCCGTGTCAACATACTTTTTATCTTTGGGGTTTTTAATGGGAAGTAGCAAGTGCAGCATATATGAATAGTATGCTTATATTATAATCAATTAATCTCAGTATTGGGCTGGGACCTGTATCTATATAATCAGTTTAATGTCCGTAGTGGTTATTGTTCCAAATGTCCTACTGTAGGATAGGGGTAGTATGAGGGGTCCAGGCTTTGGACCTGGGGCAGCTCGCCATCAAAAAAAAAAAAAGGAGGGGGGGGGGGGGGGGGGGGGGCAAAGGACTGAAGGGACCAATGGAGGGGAAGGAACCTGGCCTGTATGAACTGGACCAGCATTAGTAATATCTCATTATTACCAATATATCATTACATATTAAAATGTCTCATATAAATTAATTCAATCAGTCAAAGCACTGATTCTCATATCAATGCACCATAAACAATAGTGCAAATATTAATCTAGCTTAGTGCACATAATCAAAACAACTATCTAATGTATGCAAACTTTATCAGGAGGACCACAGCAAAAACATACTCATAATAATAGGTCTCGGCGCCCACACAGAAAAATATAAGAAAGAGCCAACAGAGCAGCGCAGGCTAGCGCTAGTTTGACTCACCAGTTCCTCTTTAAAACACGGCACACAGTGTGACAACTGCGTCGATTCAATTGTATGAGGCGCCTGTAGTGAAAGCATATCAATTACGGTTTGTAGAACAAAATATGACGTTAGGTCGCGATAAATACCTGCAGCTCGCTCATTTCCAGCTCCCCTACGACAACACACCCACCGGTGAATGCAGTGCGCTTGTTTAGGGAAGTGTTGCTGCGCGAACTGCGGGGAACTCACGTTCGAACTCTCTCGCGAGCGCTACAACTACCGCGAGGCTTTGTTTCTTCAGAGACGGTGTTCTGCCGAGTTGTGCCGCTTAGATAGGCATAGATAGAAAGAGAGATGCGGAGAAAGGTAAAAATGGCCCGGGTTACGCAAGTCTTTACAAGTCAATTGGTGCAAGTCCAAGTGAAAGTCAGAGTCATTGATGTTAAAGTCCAAGTCGAGTCGCAAGTCTTTTTATATTTGGTCAAGTCGAGTCTAAAGTCATCAAAATCATGACTCGAGTCTGACTCGAGTCCAAGTCACATGACTCGAGTCCACACCTCTGGAAGTCACACCTTTTTCTTCACACGGATGTGAAACAACCCCCGCTGAGCAGCATATCTGTTCTGTTCCTCTCTGGAGGCTGTTTCTCAATGCTTGCGTGTTCGCCGCCCTGAAACACCGTCTTCATGTAAACGAAAGGACAATCCAACTCTAACGTTTTACTGTTGCAACGTCCTTGTGTAAACAGCATACATGTGAACTTCCCGGTCTCTACTGTATGTTATATTACATACTCTGGCCATCACACTGAAGCAGGTTTGCCCGCGGCGCTGTGACCTCAGTTCAGAGAAGGGCTTGCCACACAGGTGCAGCGTGCTAATGCGGGCGGAAGTCCCACCGTGCTCCGGAATCTTCACTCCAGGAGTTTTCCTCTGTCTGGTTCAGTTTTCATGTTGAGCTCCCTGCAGTCATCCTTGTTTTCACAACAGCACAAATAAAATAAACGTTTAAGTACAACATTTAATATATTTTCTAAATTCCCTTGAGGCCTTGCACTATGGATTTCTATTGCGGCCCCTGGAGTGAAATGGCCCTCCTCTTCACCCCTGACAGAAGCTAATTTAACCCAACACAAGATAAGAAAACGCATGCGGGGAGAGCATTATGCCACCCCCTGTATGTCTAATATGCAGATAGCATAGGAGCAGGCTTTATAGGTGATTTAGCACTCTCAGAATTAATTATGTTAACCATTTATGTTTGGAGGGGCTCATTCAAATGCATTCTGCAGAATTAAAGTGAGCCTAATAATATGCAATGGCTTCTTCATGATACAACAATAGAAAGTAGGCAAAGGCAAACGAAGCAATTTCAAAGCATTTTTGTCTTCCTTTCTTTTTTCCCCAAAGTACACATTAATAGTGGATTTTCCTACAGTATTTACATCACACAACGTTTAATTTTGTAGTGGTCACAATTAGCGCTCAACAACGAATCAATAATATCGATAAAAATCGATTATTAAAAGCGTTGACAACAAATTTGGTTATTGATTTGTTGTGTCGCGCGATTAATACGTCACAGAAAGCGCGAGTTGGGCGCATTCTTGTAGTTCTATGGTTGAGCGAACAGACGCACATGCACCACAGAACTACACAACACTGCATGCACACTGCCGTAAAACTCCACAGAAGAAGAGCAGAGTGTGGCGAAGGTGAACCAGTGCAGAATAGCGAAGCGAAGGAAGCGTGCGAGTGTTGTACCGCACTAACTTTAGACACTTTGCACAGAGTCAGTGGGAACAGTGTTTCTCAGGGTCAGGGCTGTCATTGGGAGGTTCAAAGACAGGTTAGATTTGGGGAGAAGAAACCTGGTAGTCACGTCCAGGGCGCCGCGCCGCGACTCCAGCCTCTGCTAATTTTTTCTGGTAAAATCTCCGCAAAAAATGCCTCCCACAGATGTATTATCATGCCTCCCGCCATCACCGGGACAGTAACGTGTTGGAGAAGCCTTTGTCTGGTGTGAGAAGAGAGAGAGAGCGGGGGAGATGAGAGAGAGCAGGGAAGACAAGAGAGAGAGCAGGGGAGACACATTTTATGAAAATTCTAAAATCCACAATTTCCAACGCCATATGACGTCATAATATGCTAATTAGATGGGTACACTTATTCCCTACATAAACTTTGGGCCATCCTTAATAATTCTGTAATTTACAGAAAGTCTTTATCTCCTATCACTTTTAAGTTACAGCCTTTTGAAATAAAAATTTAAAACGTTTTTGAGTATATGCACTCAACAACGTTCAATTACCCTAAAAATGACTTAATTACACAAACGCGTCTTGTCTGTAATTGCTCTTTGGGTTAAACAATACCTGTTTTTGTGCACTTTACTTTATACTACGACTCCCACTGATGACTGCTGTCGTTGTGTCCTTGGGCAAGACACTTAACCCCACTTTGCCCAAAGCCCCCACCGAAAGATCAAGGCTATGCTCACAGTCAGAGAGCAGCCGTCCTCCTGTGGACTCACCACCTGCAGAGGGTCAGTGAGGGGCTGGTGCTATGAGACTTGGGTGGCATCTCTGATTGCCACCCCCCTGACCCAGAAATGGATTAAAGGGTAGAAAATGGATGGATGGATGGACTTTATACTGCATAGCATACATTTGAATGTTTCTTTGTGTTGATTCAAGGCCACGTTTTTTAATAACGGGATGGAAACTAAAAATGCTTTTTTATCCGATTAATCGAAGAAATAATCGACAGATTAATCAATTATTAAAATAATTGTTAGTTGCAGCTCTATTCACAACTATTAGTAAAATGTAATTCTTGTAGAGGAACCTTTTTTTCTTCTCAAATAATACTTTTAATTGGTCTCAATTAGGGATGTGAAGATTCACCGATTTGCATTTGTGGTCCGATACAAACGTCTGCGATGCAACTACACGGATACATTCATGGCACATCGGATATACATTTAGGCGTGAACTTGCGGTGCATCTCTTCCAGCTTGTCTGCATCGGTAGATTCCATGGTTAAAGTAGTACTAGAATTTAATATGCTGCTATCCAGAATATATAACTACAATATGTGTTTATAATATTTCGGGTGTTCATTTTGACATGTTTAGATGAATTATGTTTAAAAAA